GATCAACAAAAACAACGTCCCGTTAAGCCATTAAATGTTGCACCTAACTTCCTGCCTTTTTTCATTATACTCTTCTTAGCTCTATGTCTTCAAGTTCTTCAAGAGACTTCCACATTTTTGTCCTCTGGGCAGTTAAAGTTTTGTGGGAAAATAATTAAGAAAAAGGGCTGCCATTTCTTCAAGATTTGCTTCAAGAAAACAATGGAAGGAGAAGGAATTTTGATGGGAAAAAAACAATTTCAAGGCTCTGAAGAAACAGTCCAAGAAGAAGGTATTATGGGGGCTACAGTTGAAAAGCAGGATCTGATTTGCCAGGTTTTAATCACTTTATTATTATTATTATTATTATTATTATTATTATTATTATTATTATTATTATTTACATCTTTTTGTCAATTTATATGGATCAAAGTGCGTTTTGCTAAGTTCAAAAGATTAGATACCTATTGTCTTGGCATCGAGTTATTTTTCTCTTAAGTAACGTTGTTATGAATAAAAATTGACTTTTTTCAAGTATGTTCGGAAAAAAAAAAAAAAATTGCTTAAAATTAAAAATGCTGCCAATTCTTCAAAATTTGCTCAAAGAAAATAATGGAAGGGGAAGGAATATTGATGGGAAAAAACCATTTCCAGCGATCTCAAAAAACTGCACAAGAAGAAGGAATTGCAGATGATGGAGTGAAATGTGTTGATGAAAGCACTGTAGAGGAGAAGAAGAAACTGGTACTTATGAGAGCTACAGTCGAAAAGCAAGATCTGACTTCAAAGGTTTCCATCACTCCCTAATATTTTGCTGTCATTGTCACTTTTTTTGTTGAGGTTCACGGATATGCAAGTTTAGCTAAGTTTTAAAAATTCAATCATGCTATACTGACATGAATTATTTAAAAACATAATCAGCATTCCCACTGAATCGCATCCCGCCACACTACCTTCTGTTAAAGAATTTGGCCAAGTTCTTTCGTTGCAGTGGCATTTTCCTTAAAAAATTACTTATAAGTACTGGTAAATAAATAAAGTAAGTTTTAGAAGAAATAACATATTTTGTCAATCAAAGAAGTTGCTCGTTTGAAAATAACCTCTAATTATCATCTTGAAGTCCAACCATTTTTCCCAATATGTTTCACTACTAAAAAATGCCGTTTCAGCGACAGAATAATCCATCGGTAACACTACTTATCAAAGAAATTTTTCTGTCAATACATGTCAAAAGTGAAAGTCCTGTTTGTAATTTTTCGACAACATCATAACCGTCGGTGATTACCGACGAATTTATCTACTTTTACATGTTCTCGAAAATACTGACAAATTTCTATGACAACTGTCAGTAACGATATTAACGATGACTTAGTTCGAAGATCACATAAGTTGGGAATTAGTCTTGTATTGGAATTTCATTCCTGCTTTGTTGAGCTGTAATTGATTATTTATTTATTTATTAATTTTCAATACTGTTATGAACAACGCTAAAGACTCCCTGGAAAAAACATATATAGCTTGAATTACTAAGTGTGCAAGAAATCTCTCAGTATTAATAATTATGTCCTTTTCTGCAAAATAAAAAAGTTATTAATTCTTCACAAGTAAAGTTGATGCTGATTGTTATTATAAGAAATGAATCACTCAACATATACTGAATAGTGAATATGGAAATTGAAATAAGAAACGTGACACGACAAGTAAACATATACTTTTTTAAGAAAGTAGGACACAAAACATTTGATATAAGTTCTGTAAATTATGATTATATTAGCTCATTAATATTCAACTTAAAAATTATCGTTCGTAAAAATTGAGTTGATTAGACTTTGAAGGAATAGTGGTTCACCAATTGTAAGAAATAATTTTCCATTAAATAAATCTTGCTTATTCTTTCAAGAAAATAGCAAATTAAAAGTAAAACCAAATAATTAATTCGACTCATTAACTGTCTCGTCCCTAGGTCAAATAATTGCTTGATTAAGAGGAACATCTAAAACAACTAGCATTATCCAAAAACTCCATTGAATTAATGTGTATATGTACCTTGATCATATAACTATTTGCAGAGCTTTTTTTCAATTGATTTAACAATTTACAGGATATAGATGATTTAACAATGAGAAGATTTCTTCGTGCGCGAAATCAAAATGTAGAGAAAGCTTCGGCAATGTTGTTGAAATACCTCGAGTGGAGACGGGCATTTGTACCTAAAGGTTTCATTGCAGCTTCTGAGGTTCCAAATGAATTAGCACAAAACAAGATGTTTATGCAAGGGACGGATAAAAAGGGATGTCCCATAGCTGTCGTGTTTGGTGCTAAGCATTTTGCAACCGAAGGAGACGAATTCAAGCGTGAGTCCTCGTGTTAGAAAAGCCTCTATGAATTTTAATGTCTTGTTTATCTGTCATTTCTTACACTTTATCTTTAGGTTTCCAGGTTTTCTTGTCTTTGCTCTGGACAAACTGTGTGCAAGGTACTCTATTCTCAATGATAACCCAGGCATGTTTGGTGTACTAGATTCAATTGACATCTTATGTAATGACTCAGCCTCTATGCCCAAGCCATATTGATATTAGGATTCAACTTCAGTAATTATTAAGAAAAAGGTCATAGACACGTCATACATATGTCGTGTTGAGTCCTGTCAAATTTGAGCATGCTTGAAAACCAAGGCTTGAAGCTTCCTTTATTTCCAAATTGTAATACTTAAAAGTTCGTTTTTACTCGTCAACTATGAATTTTTCTGCGCTTTGCCTTGATTAATCAGGGAAAAAACTTGAAAAAGATGAGATATTTCAGCCCCTTTTGCAAGTAAATATCATGCTAATTAGTATTTCTTGATGCATACCAGGATGCCTGCTGGAGAAGAAAAATTCACAATTATTGGGGATCTCAAAGGATACGGATATGCAAATAGCGACATCCGTGCATACCTAGCAGCCATTTCCATCTTACAGGTTCGTTCCGTCACATACAATAAGACAACATTGTACAGTTGACCTTACAAAACAAGTCCAGAAAAAAAAAAAAAAAAATCTCTCGACGAGCACACATTGAATGCCATTCGAGAGATTGTTACAGACTACTGGGTTTTCGATTGCAGGATTACTACCCTGAAAGACTTGGAAAAGTGTTCGTCATTCATGCCCCTTACATATTTATGACAGTGTGGAAGATTCTTTACCCATTTATTGACCAAAATACCAAGAAGAAGGTGAATTTCTTGCTTTCTCAAGCAGTAATTTCTTCATTCTCCTACAGTTTTTTTTTAAATTAATATTTAAAGTTAATAAATTTTAAGTATAACACAGTAAATTAAACTAGAGTTTAATCCAAGACATTAAGCTATCTTTGAAAATTTATTCATATTGAATGAATAAAACTCAAATAACCAATAAAGGATCCATTTCAAGTATCTAATACATATTTACCTTTGCAAAATTTTGTTTATTTCCTACAGATAGTATTTGTGGGAAATAAACAACTGCGGTCTACTCTACTTGAAGACATCGATGAAAGCCAGCTTCCAGAGATATATGGAGGAAAACTGAAATTAATTCCCATCCAAGATTCTGATTAGCTAATTCTTTCTGGGAAATAATTTCATTGAACATCAAATACTTTTAACCAGTTTGTTCGTTCTTATACCTTCAAGACGAGATTTGAAGCTTCTTATATATATTATGCTTGTGTTTGGTAGATATTAAAATCAGATCTTTAATAGGTTTTGATAAAAATTGTTAAAATGTGTAGTCGAAAAGTTATGGATCCAATAAAATATGTAATTAAAATTAATTGTTGATTTTAACTCAAGATTTTAATTGAATTTTAATTCAAATCACACAGGGTCTATACAATATCGAGAATCCAAATGTTAGAGTGAGCCAAATATATCCATTTATATCTTATTTTAATTTGTGATTTCACGGTGTAAATGAGATTTAGCGGCCCTAGTTTGAGCCCTATTTTGGAAGAAAGAATACATTTCGTATAGTGGATTGATGGAAAGTGTGTGGTTAAAAATTAAAGAAAAGTTTTTGGATTTGCTTGTAATATTATTTATTTTCATCCTATTACCTCTACTCAAATATGGGATACAACACTTGGTGTTCGTTGGGATTAAAATTAGAATTTTAGTAGATTTTGGTAGAAGTTTTTGAAATATATGATTGAAAAGTTGTGGGATCCGTGAAACATGTGATTAATATTGATTTTTTGACCTTGACTCAAATTAAAATCTGAACCAAACAAGGACTTAAAGCATAAAAAATTGTTGCAATCTTTCAATAGATCAATAATAAAACAAATAAATCGACAAAAATAAACATTATGTAGTCGATTCCAAATTATGGAGAATGAAGATTTGTGGGTGGTTACCATAATCATCGTTTACAAGCATTTGGACATAAGTATATAGATGTTTCGCGTGGAACTGGAAGTCAAAATGATAAAAGAAGATTGATTTTTTAAACTGGCAGTTTTTACGATGTTCTTAGTGAGCCTATGGATGCAGTAAAGGGACAAAGCAGAAAAAGACCAAACAAATTAAGAGATAAAGAAACAAGCAGTGTTCCGTACACTGCATCGATCATGACGTGTCGTCAGGTTATTGGGTTCTTTCATTGCAGTCTTAGTTGACCAAAGTCTATCTCAATAAGGACAATTGTGAAAATTAAAATATTTCTCCTCTTTGGGGATTCTGGTTGCGTAATATGCACATCTGTTCTTAAAAAAGGAGACATTTTCATAATTTTTTTTTTTTATAATTATTGATAGAAATTTGTGAATATAGCTATAGCAGGGTCGAGATACGAGTTAAATAATCAAAATTGTCCTTTTTGGATAATTTAAAAGTTTTTATGTGTCGCAAATTACTGAAATCAAATAAGGGATTATAAATTATTTCTAAACTTACGTATCGCTTTCTCTCTACAAAGAAAAAGGCTCATCAAAACATACCAAGGAGTAAACACAACTTCACTTAGTTATAATTGAAACTGAAACGAGATTAAAGAAGAGAAATATGAGACGATGAACACTTTTAAAGAATCCAAAACACGAGCATTGGATAAATGGCAGCCTTGTAAAGCATTATGGGTTGGCAGTGGTAATCAGTTGTGTAGAGAAATCACGACAAATAAGTACAAAACTGAGATATGCTT